ACCTTGGGTTTTTTAACTTCTAATCTCCAGATAAATAAACTGCAGTACATTGCTATGGAAGCCTTAGCAAATTAATACACGGGTTTTATACTACCTTGAAATTTTCTGTATTTATCAATAGGTTTATTTAAAAAAAAAAGTACAGAGGTCACAGTATCCATCTCTCTGTTATGCAAACCACAGCAGATAGATAATTGAGAAATCCCTGCTGGGCAGAAAGGAAAACAGTATTTCATTCAGTGTTTTCCACACAATGTAATGTTACTCCAAAATGTGCATGAAAGTGGGTGTGAATGAGGGAATATGCTGAAGCAGGTTATCAATACAAAGTGCCCTCTCCCAGAACTACAGGGAGAGATGTGAGGGAGAAAAAAAATTATAAATAAAATAAATAAAAAAATAAAACATTCTCTCCCAAATCAAGAGTCCTAGAAAGTCACCTTATAAAACTGGGCCAGTTCTGCAGTAAGCAGTGACTTTGGCACCAAAACAAAACTGGGCTCAAATCTTCACTCATTAGCTAGACAAAAGATACTTTCTAACTCAATCTTACACCTTAAAGGGGAATTAAGTGTACACAAACTTGCATACAGCAACTGAGTTCATAACTTAATCTATGTTTAGATAAACCCCTACATGGTGAGGGAAATACTTAGGAACTTCTTTGACAGAAGAGAGATTTCATCATAATTCTACTTTCTTGGTATTAGTAAGTAATTAGCTAATTTCCTACATAGTATGTACCTACTGGCTTCATACTCTACGGTCATGAACTCTGAAGATCATATCCTTTTTGTTGTTGGATATTAACGGGGGAAAAGTCATCAGCAAGCTGATGGACCACTCATTTAGAAGCTGTTCATCACAATATTCCCAGTGTGGGCAACTTGTGGCATCTTCTCCTGAGAATCTACGCAACAGATCTATTAAACTCAAGATCATCTATGCAATTAATCTCTCATCATTACAGAACAGAATGAACAGCATAATCTAGCAGCTTAAATAATCTTCAATTCACCCAAGGTTGCTCCCCTATATCCTCAAAGGAAAATAACTAATTTTAGTTCCAATTTTTAAGTGGGTATGTGTTACCACTGGGGAATATTTTCTTCTCAATTTTTAGAGGAACACTCAGATTTCCAACATATAAGTCCTACAACCTATGCTAATAACCTGTGGCTTCCTTCCAGCTCTATTATAAACCTTTTTAGAAACTAAACAGCCAATTGTGACACTTCACTATTTTCTAAAATTAAGTTATCATTACAAAGAGAGTGGGGCATTTTGCAATCAACTTCAGAGTCTTTTTTTTTTTAAGATTCATTTATTTATTAATACAGAACTGGGTTCTATATTAGAACCCAGTTCTGTATTAGTAAGAGGTTCAGGAGTGGTGAGAGGCTTCACCAGAGACAGAAAGGCGAGCAGAACAGGCAGATTAATCAAGTACACTGCTGAGGGGAACAGCGGGCAATCAGGAGAGGTCTGCCAGTCATGTGGATCACTATCACTGAAGCAGCTGCAGCTAGCTTACAGTGCTGCGTCCTAACCTGCTACGCCACCAGGGAGGGCCCATCCTTCAGAGCTTTTTAAGTCTATCAAGATTCTTATTCAGGAAACTTGGTAAGGAATTCAGAACATTCTTTATAGATACAAGGACTGGGATTGTGGTCTCCCATCAAGTAATCAACCCACATTTGTACAAAGACATCCACTGTTTTACATGTAGTTCAAACACAGAGCTTGCTTACAAACCCTATAAATTATTTGACATCTTTTATAGGCATAGGCCTTTGCAAGTCCAAATCACCTTCCCCAAACAAGCCTATCACAAAGGTTGTGTGTGTGTATTTTTTTGTTAACCAATCCCTGCTCTGAATTATGTTTCGAATAAGGCAGGATAGTATTATTCAGCTGACACACATTAAAATGTATCTTTCCTATATACAAAGAACTGATGAAATTCAACAAAAATAAACAACCCCATCAAAAAATGGGCAGAAGAGCTAAAAGGAAGCCCACAGGGATTACAACTGAGATGGAAAAAGGCACAAAATGATGTAAAAATAAACTATTATAATTATAATTAAAAAAAGCTTCTTTCTTTCAGAAGTATCTCAGAGACACACTGTCTGCTTGACTACTGAAAGCACCTGAATGTGACTGAGATGATCTACATGTACAAAATATAAATTTCAAAGACTTAGTACAAAAGTCAGTGTAAAGCATTTCATTAACTCTCTTAACTACATGTTGCAATGAGAATGTTTGCTATGTTAAATTATATAAATCATTAAAATTACTTCCCTCTGCTTTTATTTTAATACTTCTTAGAAATTCAAGATTACATGTGCTCACATTAGACTTCTCTTGGACAGCGCAATTAATGTCTTTTCAAATGCTCAAATTCTCAACCAGATCCAACAGTAGTCACTTTTAAATTCATTATTCATTTGTGAAGTCTAAAAACACCTTCCTGTTGAACAACTGCCTGATAGCTTTCCATTTACATGTGCACTTCTTCAGTAAAAGGGGGGCAGGAGGGCAGAATGTCTTACACACACACATAATTCTACACAAAAAAACAAAAATGACTTTTAAGATCTGCGATAATTTTAGATCTTACTGATCACCTGGGTCTACAAAAGAATCTAACCTTGTTTCCATTTAAAATGAATTAAGGGCTTTCCCTGGTGGCACAGCGGGTTTAAAGCACAGCACTAAGAAACTAAAGCCACTTCAGCATGAGTTCAATCCCCGCCCAGGAGCTGACTCACATGGCGCCACAGACCTCTCCAGAGCCGCCTGCAGACTCCCCTGAGCAGTGTACTTTGTCAGTCAGCTTATTCTTCTCCCCACTCTGTCTCTGGTGAATCCTTTCACTGCTCCTACACCTCTGGCCTATACTCCAGCTCTGTATGCATAAATAAATAAATCTTTAAAATAAAATAAAATGAATTAAGGTACTAGTCAAAGCTATCTAATTTAGAGACCAGTCGACTAACCCAATCCCAGATATATTCACTCAAACAGAACTTAGTTCAGATTCATGTGGTTATGCAGCTCCTCAATATGCGATAATTTTATTCAGGAACAGCACATAAACTACATGAAAGCTCTGATTTGCCATAGTTTCAAAATTCTAAATGATCTGGTCTTTGCTTACTTTTCCATCATCATCTCAAATCACTCTCTGATTTAGTTACTCTACCTGAGCCACTTCCTTGAGTAAGTTGGTATTACAGCCTTAGCACCTTTACACTTGCCATTTTCTCTGCATGTCCAGTCTCAAGCACAGTCAGCTCTTTTCTGATCCTTCAGTTCTAAGCTCACTGCTAACTGCAAAGGTCTTCTTTTAGTATCCCATCTAATGAAACCTCACTATTTCCTCACTCCCAAGTTATACTAGAGTCCTATGTCTAGCCTACCACTGAGGAAAACCTAAAAATATCTCATCCACCTCCCCAAACAGAAGATAAGCTTCCCAAGAACAGAGATCCTGTTTTGTCTGCATCCTCCAGCAGAGAACAGGCACTGAAATGTCTACTGATAACTGAATGTCAAAAAAATCAAAAGCAGCCTTAGAGATAAAGGTAAGAATCCTAGAGGTCAAAATCCAGTATATACTTACTAAAAAAGAAAAAAAAATTAAGTTTCATATTTACATGACCACTGAGTCTTTATCAGCTGCCAATACTTAAGCCTCTTAAAATTATATTTCCATATGGTTATAAATAAGAAATACAGAAGAAATTTTGAGGTTGGAGAAATAACTTGCATCATTAAGATATAAAGCTATAATAATAAAAATACTGAGTACTGGTAGACCTTTCCTGCCTTGTCCACTGCTTCCCTAAGCAATATATTTTAGTAGATCCACCTGTTCTGCTCCCCACTGTGTCTCTGGTAAACCTTCTCACACCCCCCTACCTCTGTAGGTATCCCAGTTCTTGTATGCAGAAATAAAATATCTTCAAAAAAAAAAAAAAAAGATTATCACCAAAAAATGCAAAAAGGGAAAATGAACTATGACTATAATTAAACTATACATCATCATAAAATTATGTTATAACCTATGTGACAATAAATGTGTACATGTCAAGGTAGTGAGAGAAGTTAAATCTACCAAAACCATCACTATCCAAAGCAGAAAGTTAATATATAACACCAAAAACTAGAAAATCAATCAGCCATAAAATAAACTTATTTAGATAATACTAGGAGGAAACAGTAAAGAACTGGAAGTCACTGCTTCTAGAAACTGGGAAGGAGTGTGAAGGAACTGCTGCTTTTTATGAAAAGCCCTATGGAGCTGACAGCCTGACATATGTATAGGACTTTTGCACATGTACTGAAAAGATTTTTTTAATGTGTAAATATAACGTATTTTTCAAAGTTAAAAAAAAAAGTACCATGGGGAATAACCAAATGGATACATGAATGTATCTGTGTCCATCACATATTACAATAGAAAATGAGAGGAAAGCCAAAATGTCTACCAAACATAACTAGTTAGATAAATGTCGTATCCGTGATGAAAAGCCAAAATGCAATCAAGAAAAAAACATGTTCTTATGTTCTTATTAAAAAAAAGACTAGGTAACAGAAAAACTATAACCTCCAATTTTAATTAAACTCACACATTTCCCAGTACCATGTGCATAAAGAATGTTCACCAAAATATCAAAGACCATTCATGTATGTCGTTTATAGGTGATCTTTCTCAGTATTTTCAAATGAGTATGTATCTATAAAAAATTCAAGTTAAAGTAAAAAAGTAACTATTGATTATACAAAAATTGTTAAGGAATCGGACAGCAAAGCTACTTTGTCAGCTTGCTAAACTGAAAAATGAACAGTTTAACCGGAAGGCAGAACTTCCATCAAGGAAACTTCTGGACAAAGAGTTATTAACATAAGGTTGGTTTCTTAAGTCAGTGAAGTTATTCAGTCCTTTTTCTACCACTCATTTACCTTATTTGAACAATAATTCAACTTACACCAAATCCCAAGCAGACACTCCCTCAGAATACTGACAGTGCCACTGGCTTCTCTGATTTACAAAGTCAGCATACAATTCTGAAACAAAAGGAAATAAGCAATGTTAAATAACTTGCTAAACCTTACAGATTACATTTTAAAATACAGATGCCTAGAGTGCATAAACTTCACTCTCATTTTCAACCATTCAAGTTCACACAGTAAGATTGTAGCTTGCTTCCTCTTGTAATATGATACTTTCACTGGCAATATTTCAGGTGTAACAGTTTGCATTATGGAAGACTAATTCACATAACTTCATAATTCAAATTACTTCAGAAGTAGATGCTTAAAACAAACCAACAAAAAATTGATATTTTTCAAGTTAAAGCAACTCTTCATCCTCCATTTCTTCACAGTACCAAGGACCCAGCCAGGGAACTGACCCACATGGGGCAACACTCCTCTCCTGTCTGGCCCACTGCTCTCCTCAGCAGTGTATTTCAGTAGATTCCCTGTTCTGCTCCCCGCTCTGCCTCTGTTGAATCCACCCCACCTCAGGCTTCAACCCCAGTTCCTCTATGCTAAATAAATAAATTTTATCTTTTTTTTTTAAAGGCATGCCACCCACAATATAAAAAACTTGAAGGTGAATTTGACAATCATGAAAATGGAAGGTATTTAAAGAGTATGATTATTCACTCTACTAGTCACCAGCAGATACTCTGCCAAAAAAAGCTTGTCACATGCCAGTATCATCAAAAGCACTAGCCTCTGTTCACTCTAATTCACTCCTGTAGTCTTATCATCAGACCTATGAAATTTTGCGTGAAATAAGTACATATTCTGACTTACACTTCTATGGGAAACAAACACTGCAGCAAACTAATTTTAACAACAAACGTTACTTGAACAAGTAATGTCAAGCTGATTTATTTATTTTCATACTTTAAAAGGTTAAAACAAGCAATGTTACTCCATTTCCACATGAATTTGAAGTGGACATATTTTCTGAGCTCAAACTATAGTGCAAAGGAAATCTCCATTTCAAAATCCATCTAACTATGTAACTGAGAGGTTTCAAGTTAATTTTCAATTGGAAATTAGTGATCTGAAGTATAATAACACATTAAAAGGCAAAATATCAAGAACAAATCTAACAAAACTTTTAAAGATTTATTTGCACATAAAAGAACTAGGGTACAGGCCAGAGGTGTGGGGGGTGAGAGGATTCACCAGAGGCAGAAAGGGGAACAGAATAGGCAGAATGACTGAAATACATGGCAAAGAGGAGCAGTGTGAGAAACAGGAGAGGTCTGTTGTGCCATGTGGGTCAACTCCCCTGCTGGGAATTGAACTCGTGCCCCAGTGGCTCTGGATAGCTTCACAGTGCTGTGCTTTTAACCCGTGCACCACCAGTGAGGGTCCTCTAACAAAATTTTTTTTGTGTGTGGTTAAAAAATTTTAATTTATAGTAAAATTTTTCAATTATACATATATAAATTTTTTGCATTACTCTTCATTTAGTACATTTCTTCATCTAAGTTGTAATCCCCATGGCTCAAACAAAACTTTTAAAAGCCTTTTAAGTGATGGATATGCTCAATTAAAGTCATATGCTCAAAAAAATACTCACAGACTATGATTAATATTTGGCAGGACCCATCTGTGTGAAAAGAAATTTTCCAAAATGTAAAATTTCACTACAGATTTCAGCATTAACAAATGAACATTTGCCATCAATTTTTATAGGTAAAGCTAATCTTGAATCCCACTTAAGTGAAATGCTATCTCCCAAATTCCATTTTTCTTAATGACATACTTGTAATTACAAAAACTTTATTTGTTTATTTAGCATAGAACTCGAGTATAGGCCAGAAGTGCCTGGGGGGCGGGAGGGGGGAAAGGGGTGTGAGAAGGTTCATCAGACAGAGTAAGGAGCAAAACTGACAAATTTACTAAAATACACTGCTAAGGGGAGCATCAGGCGAGAAGAGTGGTCTGTTGTGCCATCAAAGTGGATTAGCTCCCTGATTGGGGGGCGGGGTCAAACTCAAATTCAGGCCATAGTGGTAAATGAAGCTGAGACTTGACCTTTACACCCCTAGGAAGGCCCTCAATAAGATTTTGAATCCTATTGATACTTTTATTACTTAAGTGCCTACATAATATTCTCAATTTTACCTCCTTGCCCCCAAAAGCATGATGATGGTTTGGAAGTTTACAGAAAATTTACCAATTTTAGTTATACAGTATTCATCTAACAAAGGCACTTAATGCAAACAGCCAAACAAGAGTAAATCCTTAATAAGCAGTAATCCTCAAAACTAAGGGGTAAATGATAGAAATGATAGAAAAATAGAATATATATTTTAAAATATATTCCCCACTTGGGCCCTCCATAGTGGCGCAACTGGTTGAAGTGCAGCATTATGAAGCTATCTGCAGCTGCTTCAGCATGAATTCGATCCCTGGCCAAGGGGCTGACCCACATGGCACAGGAGACCTCTCCTGTCTCGCCCACTGCTCCCCTCAGCAGTGTGCTTTGTCCATCTGCCTGTTGTGCTCCCCAATCTGTATCTGGTAAATCCTCTCACTGCATCTCTAGCTATACCCCAGTACTGTATGCATAAATGAATCTTAAAAACAAATAAAATATATGCCCAACAACTTTACAAGTACAGCAAATAAAATTAGTAATCAATCATCCCAAAGCACTGGCTCAGTAAATAATAGGAGCACATGGTTGAAAGCTACAATGCCTGTGTTTAAGTCCTAAATTCATCAACTAGTATTAAGATTCATTAGGGCCCTCCCTGGTGGTGTGGGACTGGAGGCTGCACTGCGAAGCTAAGCAAACCATGGCTGCCCCTCCCCAGAGGTGACCCGAATGGTGCAGCAAACCTCTCCTGTCTCTCCTTGCTCCCCTCAGCAGTGTATTTCACCTATCTGCCTGTTCTGCTCCCCACTCTGTTTCTGGTGAATCCACTTGCCTCTGACTTCTGTCCTGTACCCCATTTCTGTATGCATAAAAAAATAAAATCTTCTAAAAAAAATCATTAATTCTAATGAGTCTCATTCATCTCTAAAACTGGTTTCTACAACAGAAAGTTGTATGAAAATCAAGTAACTTAACAGAGGTATAGTTCTGAGACAGTTTAGTACATATTAGTACTCAATATTAATCAAGTCAATGTCAAAATGCCAGAGTTAATAAGTCTAAAGATTTCTATCAGTGGATCTGTCACTGACCAAATGTTCTTGAGAGTTCAGAAAGTGTCTTTTTGGAAGCCTGGAAATGTAAAACACTTATTACAAATGCTAATAACAAATACAAGCCTGTGTTTGACTGAATGTCTACTAAGTAACACCATTATTCTGTGCCCCAAAGTCGCATTTTATGAGAGGGCTCCAACAAGCCATTTTGCACATGCAACTGAAAATTTCTACCTAGACCAGTTAAGTACTTTTGAAAATCATGCTCTCGGATTATGCAGAGGTGTCTTGGGGGAAACTAATATTCTTAAATCTTCTAGCCTATCCAGACTACCCATAGGAAAAGCTCTTTTTCCAGAATCTCTATACCCCATTTTTATGAACTACCACCATTTCCTTATAACTGAAGCCTCTATTTCCTTGAAAACTACTAGTCATGTAACACTAGACCACACAGGTCCTTGAAGGCAACTACAAGATCAAATTTCTTTCTGTATGCAGCCTACCCAGCAACAAACGAATATTAATTATAAAATATTTTTACTATGATAAAATATACATAATGCAAAATTTGCCCTCAAGCATTTTAAGGTCAGTTCAATTTTGTACATTCACATGATTAAACAATCATTATCACCATCCCTACCTCTAGAACTTTTACATCTCTCAAACAAACTTTCAATTAACCAGTAACTCTCCCTTCAACCACCATTCCACCAAGAATTTGATTACTTGAGGTGTAACAGGTTCTTTAATAACATCTGAATGTTATTATAAACACTAGTTTTAAATAAACACCAACTGAAGTTAATGGAGGACTGCAGATTCCTTTCACTTAACGTTGCTGTTTCTAAGAACCTACTGAAGAAGCCAGTGAATTTAGATTTTAAGTAGAAATCTTATGGAAGTAGAAATCATACAGTATTTGCTCTTTGTCTAACTTATGGCACCTAGCAAAATGTCACAAAGTTCAATTTTCAAAAAGGGTAAGCATGTAGATCACAGAAATTGAGATGTTAACAGAAATGGTCTTATTTGCCTGAGCAAACCAAATTGTTTAATTCATCTTTTTACCTAACTGTCTTCATACACAGTAAAAATCTCAAACTGTACTAAACAGTTTGAGGTCTCCTTCCTAATTACTACTCAACTCCCAGTCCCCCGTCCCAGTTTAATATTTTTATTCTGGAACACAACTGCCCACACCACATGTTACCTTGCCTTGAGGCTGTCCTATTAGATATTCAGTTGGCCTATCAGGAATGATTCTTCTAAAAGAATCTAGCATAAAGATCCAAAATAATGTACACAAAAAAGTTTAATGAAACAATTTACAAAAATGTTACACTGAAGTAACATTCAATAGTATACCTGTGGATGTTTTTACCAGGCAGCATACCAAGGCAATAAAGGCATAAAAGACAGACATGTTAACAATCCAGAAGAGAAAACCTCTCTCCAATTTTGCAGTTATATTTAATAGCTTAACAAGAAAGATCCTCCTCTCCCACTCAGAAAGTACCCATTTCTTTTTTTTTTTTAAGGTTTTTTTAAATTATGAATACAAGAACTGGGGTACAGGCTGGAGATGCAGTGGTGAGAGGATTCACCAGAGACAAAAGGGAGAGCAGAATAAGCAGGCAGGCTGAAATACAATGCTGAGGGGAGCAGTGGGGTCAGAAGGTTTGCCACTGGGCCAGGAATCGAACTTCCACTGCAGCAGTTGTGGATAGTTTTCATAGTGCTGTGCTTTAACCTGTTGTGCCACCAGGGAGAGCCAGAAAGTACCCATTTCTTGTTGGCAACTCTTAGGTAAATTACCAGATAAGAACAGGTTATAAGGGTAAGGTCAAAATCCCAGCTAGAATAACAAATTGTAGCAG